GGTGAAGAAAGGAATGGTGTCGCCGCGTCGCCCTCGCTCTCCGTCGCCGCGCTAAAATGACCCTTTTTTCCCCGATTGCGAGATAAATCCGAGCTGCGGAGGAAGAGGAAAGGAAGATGGATGTCAGGAGGAAGTGAGAAGAGGGAAATAGAGGAGATAGAGAGAGAGAGAGAGGAAATAAGAGAGACAAAAACATTCGAGGAAGTTGGGAAGTGCAAGAGAGAGAGAAAAGATCCTTCGGTTCTTTTGGTAAAATATTTTTTTTTTAATCGCTCGGACTTCTTCTATTTATTTATTATTTTTTTAAAGGGGAAAGCTTTTTTTTATTCTCTCTTTTATTATCGAGAAAAGAAGAGGAAAAAAGAGGAAACGAGGAGGAAACCCAAGGTGAGTTTTATTCGTGTTTATTCAATTTCATTTTTATTTTATTTTTATTCAATCTTCTTCTTCTTCGTGTTTTTTTCTGAATATTTTTACAATATTTTTCGTACGATGGGTCTTCTGTTACAAAAAAAATTCGTACGATTGGCCTTCATTTACAAAAAATTTCGTCCAATAGGCCTTCATTTACAAAATTTTTCGTACATTGGGCCTTTTTTTCCATTTCCTGGTTTATTTCGTCATCTTTCCGAGCCTTTTATCTGTCATTTTGCGTCACATTTTCCCGTAGGCGAATATTTCTGCCTCTGTTCTACTAATTTTGTGAAAATAATTTTCATGGTTATGGCAAATGAATGGTATTTATATGTAAATATGTATTTTAATGTATAGTTCTGTTGTATTTTTTTCTTTTATCGTTTTTTCTTAATAAATGAAGTTTGTTTATTGTATATTATTTAAGTTGGTTGTGTCCGTGTCATTGTTTTATTGTAATTTTCATTTTTTTCTACAAGGAATATATATCTTGAGTATTTCTGTCCATATGACTCTGCTTTCCTGATGTTGTTTCAGTCCCGTAGTGGAAAGAACGCCTGAATTGTTTATCGCTTTTGGTATTCCTAATTTAGTCATCATTAGAACTGTCTTGGTTGTCATTAATATTGTCCTTGTCTTCCTCCTGCTCCTCTTCTTCCTCCTTCCTCTCTCTCTCCCCCTCACTCCCTTCCTTCCTCCATTCCTTCATTCCTCCTCCTCCTCCTCCTCCTCCTCCTCCTCCTCCTCCTCCTCCTCCTCCTCCTCCTCCTCCTCCTCCTCCTCCTCCTCCTCCTCCTCCTCTTCCTCTTCTGCCTCCTCTGCCTCCTCCGCCTCCTCCGCCTCCTCTGCCTCCTCCGCCTCCTCCGCCTCCTCCGCCTCCTCCTCCTCCTCCTCCTCCTCCTCCTCCTCCTCCTCCTCCTCCTCCTCCTCCTCCTCTCCTCTTCCTCTTCCTCTTCCTCTTCCTCTTCCTCTTCCTCCTCCTCCTCCTCCTCCTCCTCCTCCTCCTCCTCCTCCTCCTCCTCCTCCTCCTCCTCCTCCTCCTCCTCCTCCTCCTCTTCCTCCTCTTCCTCCTCTTCCTCCTCTTTATCATCATCATCATCTCCCTTACCATTATCATGATATTATCATCAAAATCATCGTCGTCATGTAGTCATTGTTGTCAGTTATATTGTTGTCGTCACCATAGTCATCGTCATCATTTTCAACTTCATTGTCATCATCATCATCATCATCATCATCATCATCATCATCATCATCATCATCATCATCATCATCATCATCATCACCACCACCACCACCACCACCACCACCACCACCACCACCATCATCACCACCATCACCATCATCACCATCACCATCATCACAATCACCATCACCATCACCTTTATGATTACCGTCATTATTATTGGGATTATTGTTGTTGCTGTTATAATTATTATGTATAATATGTATAATAGTATTTATGATATCATATATGTAATTATAATAGTATTTATTGTGATATTTATGATGAAAGTAATAATTATTATGATGATGATGATGATTGTTATGATGATAATTATAACAAAATGTTATTTATATGATTATTAAGTATGAAGATGACTATCAAGATATATGAAGATTATAATGATAGTGATTAATATTGTTGTAATTATTATCAATATTATTGTTGTTATTGTTATTATTGCTGTTATGATTATTATTATTAATTGTTGTTATAGTAATTATCATCGTTACCATCATTATTATTGTCATTGTCAATATCACTTATCATTATCATTTCTATAATCATTATTACTATGTTCATTATCATTAATAATGATAATAGTTGTTGTTATTATTATTATTATTGTTTTTATAGTAATAGTAGTAGGAGTAGTAGTAGTATGATGATGATAGTAATAATAGTAGAGATTATTATAATGGTTATTATTGTTAAAGCTACTATCATTATTATTATTATTATTATTATTACTATTACTAGTAATAATAATAGTAATAGTAATATTCTATTATGATTTCTGTTATTACTATTACCATTACTTTTATGATTACTATTACTATTGCTATTACTACAATTAATATTACTATTATTATTACTATTATTATACTTTATCATCAATATTAACGTCATCATCAAAATCATCATTGATACCTGTTGAATAAAACAATATTTTTAATATTGTTATTATAATTTTTTCTTTCTTTCTTTACTTTCTTTTTATTTTCTGTTATTAGTATTGTTATTATTGTCACCTGTTATTGTTATTGCTATAGTTATATGCAAAATATTGATAGTATTGTCTTGTGTAGTATTCTTTTTGCACAAATGTGTTAGTTTCTCTGTTTTCCCTCTCATAATGTTCCATCATTTCTGTCATTAGGTTCTGTTTTGGCCTTATTTAACTCTGATTTTATTTGTCTTAAGTCAGAAGAGGCCTGCAGGGATGGCAGTTCTAGAGATTTTTTTTTATATGAAATGATCTGTTTTTTTCTTTGTGTTGGTTATTTATGTTTCATTTTTATTAAGGGAAAACTACTTTTTCATATCTTGTTTGTTTATGTAAATGTAATTATCTACCATATGTCCACTAGCGGATGGTTAGATATTGCTTGGACTGGTTGCCTAGATGATGCTAAATTCCCCGGAAGATATACAAGCTTGAGATAGGTCAGAATATAGAGATTTATTAACTGTGCCAGAACAGTTTATCTTTAGATCAGTCATTGCTGTCCTGTATAATTTTTTTTAGGATTTTATTTATGTTTTCCCCTATTTATTATTGGGTCCTGTTGTTAATTACCGGAAGAAACTGCTTTAATGCTAGTTTGTGTGGCTTGTTAATGTCATATTCCTTAATGTTGTGTTCCCAGTGTGTGTGGTGATGTCCTTTGTTCTGTAGTAAGGATAGAAATATGAAACATGCAAGAGATTACCTTGTAGAGTTCTAATGGTTACTAGCAGTAGTGGCCTTGGGGCTTTGTTGTAGTAGAGCAAAGGAAGCTTTATTGGGAAGATGACAGACAAGTACTGGACTGACTGGAGTTTCATAACCCACACAGTGTAAAACAAGTAGCTATGAGGGCTAGATATTACAGTATGAGACCAGGATTAATGAGTTGGCTGGCTGTATACAAAAGGTGTTATTTCTTTATTCAGCATTTTTTTTTTTTTTTTTCTTACCCTCACCTCATTGGATTTCGTAATTTTGTTTGAGGGTTTAATGCATTTTTGGGATTGAGGACTTGTTAGTAATAAAATTCTTAGTGGATATTGATAAGACAAGGCAATCTCCTAGGGTGTGTAACTTCCTTGAGTGAGAAGTATCACATGTAAGGGGCTCGGGAATGATGGAAGTGAAGGCATTCATCTAGTGGGGACTTCATGGTTAATGTAGAAAGATTACCCAAGTGTATTGTTTTTAGTTTAAAGTGCAGCTATTCAAGATTACATAGATGACAATGATGGAAGAATAGCTTGTCTGGTTATTGTTACCTGTGGAGTTCCTATTACCGGTCAAATTGCTATAGTTACTGTCAAGTTACTGTAACCTGTCAAATCCCTGTTACTTGTCAAGTCTCAGTTGCCTATTAAGTCCCCAATTACCTGTCAATTTCCCATTATCTGTCAAGTTCCCACTACCTGTCATGTCCCTGTTACCTGTCAAGTTCACATGATCTGTCAATTTTCATTACCTGTCAAGCAGCCAAAAACCTAGTCTACAGTAAAATGACCTAGCCGTTGCCTACACTTTAGCATAAACCTATTTTAAGTTTAGATTATGTTTAATTTTTTAGTCATGAACAATGACAATAAGAATAATAGTATTTACAACTTCAACTTCTGCTACAACCATGATGATAATAATAATAATATCTATAACAACAATATTATTAACCCATTGGATCGGTTTGCTTCACTGCCATCATGTGTGTGCCCAAAATATGGGCTGGGCGTGCATCCTGTAGGTCAAGTGCACGCAAACTCCATGTCTCTCCTATGCAGTGTTTTTTTCTCTTTTTCTGCATAAGCGTTTTTAGCTTTTTTCTTATTTTCCAATACCTATATTTATCATTTGATTTATGTTACTCAGATGGTAATAGATTGCTTTCCTCACACAAATACCATAGTAACTCTGTAGGTAGTTCAAACCTCAATGCAAGTTCTAGCAAGTTCAAGGCATTGAGTTATTTTCGTCATTTAAATTTTTTTTTAATATTCAATGTCCTGTAATACATCCTGCATTGCTGGTCACATTGGCCCGAAATAGGATCATGAGCATGGAAATAGTGTCTTCCCTGGAGCCCGTACTCTTCCAGTTATGGCTCACAACATAATACATTCTACATTAATTTATCAATGGGAGTAATGCCAAAGCCCCTCCTGCATGCCCAATGAGTCTAATCACCCTCCAAGAGTTAAATGCACAAACAGCGAGATATTCCTGCCACCCCGGCCTTTAGCTGAAATGCTCATGATGGCAAGTTTGATATTTTCATGTTCAGTTTTCTGTAACACACGCTGCTGTGTGTGTTGGGCAGGAAGAGACTCCCGAGTTTCGTCTTCCTCCAACACCTTTGTGCACTTGCGCCAGTCACCCGTCTTCAGGAGAATTTTTAATGACAGTGTATGCCTGTCATTCCGGCCCTCATCCTCAATTTTTGCTTAATGGACATCATCATCATCATCATCATCATCATCATCATCATCATCATCATCATCATCATCATCATCATCATCATCATCATCATCATCATCATCATCATATCATCATCATATCATCATCATATCATCATCATATCATCATCATCATATCATCATCATATCATCATCATATCATCATCATATCATCATATCATCATATCATCATCATCATCATCATCATCATCATATCATCATCATCATCATCAATGTTGTTATTATTATTGTTATTGTTATTTATTGCTGTTGTTGCCATCATTGTTATTGTTAT